CTTCTTAAGCATGCTAATCTTCATTAAATTCTTTCAAGATTGATCACCTACTTCTAGAATCTTGATATCAAAGTCAGGAATGAATATTATAAGAGAAGTATTTCTCTGTCAGACACTCTGTAATCAATCTAACACTTTTCATTGCATAGCAGTGTCTCAGAACAGAACATTGAGATGTTTAATAATATTATCAGATATTCACAATCATGATTTACATGCCTTCATTCATGAATGAAACTTCTGTTTCATATGATTCTTCAATCATTTATTAATATATCAATCTTGATTGATTAGTGAACTGATAATATCTTTATTCACACTCAGTTTCACAAGCATTTTCATTCTTTATAATGAGTAGAGAGTGAGATCAGAAGTATTGAAATATATAAAAGCATCTAAGCATTCTTTCAGTGCTTTTGTATTTGATTCTGTAGATGTTGAAATTGCATGAGTTAATTGTTGAATCTCTTCATATTAGTGTTGTTAAGTTACATACATATCAGCTATTTATTATTGTTGTAATTTCAACATTACTCAGAGTCACTATAGCATCATGTCTATAATTACATTTAAGAGTTTTATATTATTGTTAGACATGATTGTATCAGTTGTCAGATGTGAAATTATATGAATATCTCATACATCTGAGTGTCAGAACTCTCAGATTATTCACTGATATTCTTTTATAAAATCTTACTCTCTTTATAAGATCTTATTACAGGGTCAGAATGACTGATGAGTAAGCTTCTATCTGAGAACTCAGTGTCTGCTTAACTGTTTGACTGTTTCTCTATTTCTTACACATTATTACATGTTCAGATATCTCTCAATGAATAATCATTTCTAATAAGAAGATAATATGTGAATAATCATTTCTAATAAGAAGATGATGAATGTTTTTCTAGTATAAGAGATCTACACTGAATAGATTAATATAATATTGATAGATTCTATATAACAAAGAGAAAAACATTAGAGAAGAAAAGAAAGAGAAAGTGTAAGAATCAGTGATTGAAGTGAATATTTATACATGTATGTGATGATGTACACAGTGAAGTTTCAGAGTGAAAGAATTTATATATATTTGTAATAACTGAGAATTGATGATCAAGAATAACGAAGAGTTGAAGTGTATGTATTCAAGAATGAAGTGACAGCTGAGAATTAATAATTGAGAATGACTGAGAATTGAAGTGTATATATTTGAGAATGAAGTGATTGAAATCTGTAAAGTGTAACAGAATAGTCTATATAATTAATCAGACGCAGCCCGTCACAAAATATATACTCTTAATAATTTTTTATAACTCTAGAATTAATTTAATATATAAATTTATCAGATTATCTTGAAGATAGCAGTTAAATTCAGTTTTATAAGTATATAGTTTTATCTAATTTTCAGTTGTAATTAATATATATAAGTTCTATTTCAAAGTTAGTATTATAATTCTATATAATATAAAGTATTATCAAAGATTATTACTTATTAGAGAATTATATTTCATTATTTTTATATTTCTAATATCTGCTTATTCAAATCTCTGATAGTTAATATTGTAGTAATCTCAGACTAATTTAATATATAAGTCTTATTTCTTCTCTATTCAATCTTGAGAAGTATAGATATTAATTTGATAAGAGAGATCTAGTAGAGCTATTATTATTATTATTATTATTCTTTCATTATACTCATATGCAAGTGAAGCTTATGATGAGTTCTTGCGTGATGTTAAATACAGGTCAAGTTAGACTGGCCGCCGGGACCATGAATTTCACATTTGGTCTCATTTAATCTGATCTCATACATTTCTTGATGTGAGTCTCACCAGGACCAAGCCTCAAAAAAATCTGAAAATGGACCATTTCTGAGAGAAATGATGTGAAAAATGACCAGATTTAATTCAAGAACAGTGAAATGAGAGTAATTTTTCAGAATAAACTATGAAAGATGATCATTCTTTCAAAATCAGAATGAGACTGAGACTGAAGATCAAAATCAGTCTCATTCAGTTCATTCAGTGATTGCTTATATAATCAGAATTTGATAATGATTATTAATAACACTCATGAAACAACTAAATACATTCTTGAGCAAGTTTATTCTTCACTTTCTCATGAAAACTACACTTCTCTGATATACTGTGATCAGAGGTATTAAACTGTCTGATAATTTCATGTTTTATAATCATGAGTTTCTTGATTGTTTCTTCTTGTAATTGTTCCCAGTGATAGTGATAAATATCTTGACTTGAGTTAAACTTTCACTTCATTCTCATCTCTGTTAATGAAATTATCAGAATATCACACATCATCAGTGCAACAGTTGAATATGTACTCTCAACAATTTTTCATAACTCTAGAATTGATTTAATGTGTAAATTTGTCAGATTATCTTGAAGATAGTGATCAAATTCAGTTTTATAAGCATGTAGTTTTGCCTGATTTTCAGTTGCAATCAATGTATACAAGTTCTGTTTCAAAGTTAGTATTATAGTTCTATGTGATATGAAGTGTTATCAAAGATCATTACTTACTAGAGAATTGTATTTCACTGTCTTCACATCTTGAACATCTGCTTATTCAAATCTCTAATAGTTGGCATTGTAGTAGTCTCAGACTAATTTAACATATAAGTCTCATTTCTTCTCTGTTCAATCTTGAGAAGTGTAGATATTAACTCAACAGAAGAGATCTAGTAGAGCTGCTATAGTATAGTACTCTGCAAAAGATTGTTTCATTTTACTGTAGTAATATACCAGTTTATTTCTTACAGTAACAATAGCCTGCACTATAGCATCATCTCAGACTGAATTTCTTTTTAAGTGATTTAACTGCTTCTCAAGATAAGTAAATAAACTGTTATACACTTATCAGGCTGACTGCAGCATTGATGTACAAGTGATTGAGACTGTCTTTGTTATCTTATAAAACTGAAACAGTAAATCAATCACATATTTCAACTGAGTTCACTTCATATCAGAAAGTTTCAATATCTGAATCTTTTTCTGATCAGAGTGTTGCACTCAATGATCAATTGTCTGACACAATCAAAGAGTCTGAACAGTCATCTTATATGTTGAACTTCACTATATTCTAACATTCTGTATCATATTCAGTGATGTGACTGATTTGTTTATTTATTAAATATTATGAAATTATTGTTATTGTTTAGAAGAGATATAAATCACATTAACAATGTTTCAAATCTATGATATTTAAATTATTAGTCAATCTATTCAAAATTAACAGTAGTATTATTAAAAAGCATTATCAAAAAGCAATATTAAAAAGTGTTATTAAAAAACATTATCTTTTATAAAGTGAATGTAAAAGTTACTTGAGTAATCACTTCTATCTCATTCTCATTTCAAGAATCAGTCATCTTATTATTCTTTATCTTGATATTAAGATTCTTTATCAGTGTTTACATTACAAGTTGAATCACATGAGCAATACAGAAGATATGACCTTGTTTATCATTTCAGAAATACAAAGTCAATTTTTGCTTCAAGCTCTTTATCATAGTGTAGTTATTCACAGCATTGTCAGTTGTAATTATAAGAAGACTGAAACTAATATCTTAATAGTCATTTTTAATCACAGTCATTAATATCTCTGCTATATAATTCTCAGTATGACTACTGATCAATGATTCAAATTCAATTAATGTCTCTTAATAAGTTCAGTTCTCATCAATGTAATAACATGTAACTCTTATAAATGCAAGATTGTTTATACTAGTTCATGCATTCACTGTGAGAGACACTCTTTGATGATTCTTCAACTCTGATTCTAGATGTTGCATATTGACTTTGTAGTATATCTCAAGGTTGAACTGAAGACAGAATTGATATGGAATATCAAAATTTGAATTAAGTATTTAAAGAAGTATTTGAAATTCAGGGTTTTCAATTAATTGAAGAGAAAGATTCAGAGATATACATATACAAAGTAATTGTTCATGAAAGTTATCAGATGAGAGTTATGAAATCAGAGTACTGATATGAGATTGTTTTCACATGATTTTCTTCAAATTAGAAAGTTAGTGTTATCAAAAATTGTTATCTGATAGAGTAACTTATCAGCTCAGTAGTAATTTTCTGATTATTTTCCTTTTATTGTCTGCATTCTGATGACTTCAGATGTTGAGAAATTTCTTCAGAGTCATGATCAGTTCATGATAAATATTTCTGAATGAAGTTGCAGTGATTATAGCAGAGAGATGACTCTTTAGTAATCTGCAATACAATCTGTTGATAATTATTTCATAGTTCATCTCAATATTTATGTTGAGTTTTTCATAAATTTTATAGCCTGGAATCAGATGTGAAGAATGAAGTAATCATTTATTATAATTGAAAGAGAGTATTCTGTGTTGAATTGTAAATAACATAGACTTTGTGATTCACAGTGATTTCTTGAAGAGTTTATGAATCTTCAATAGAAGTAAAAGAAGTGAAAGAAGTGAATTCAGAAGATATAATAATAATTTGAGAAAGATAATAATTTATTTTCAATAACTGATCACTGATGTGTGTAAGAAGAATTAATATAAGAGAAAATAATCTTGTTTCTTAGCTTAGTTATAATTTTAGTACTAACTCAGATTGAATATCATTGATATATAAAAGTAAATAAACAATCTTGATTAATCTCTGTTATATTTCTTGAAATATATTAATATTATGAAAGAGAGTGTTACTAAATTACATTATCAGATAATATCATTAAAAATATATTAATATTATGAATATCAATATTGAAAAAATGTTGATACTTATACATTATAGTGATTTGTGAATCATGATAGTTAAATATATATATATATATATATATTGTTTCTGACTTGATTACAACTTGTATAATAATTTTTAAAAACTCAAAATTAATTTCAATTATTAATAATTATGAACTTATAACTAACTAATATAAAAAGAAAAAAACTTTTTCTACTTATTATCTTTCTTCTCTTTCTCATTCTTCTTATCATTCTTTATAATTCACTTCTCATTCTTCTTCTTCTTCTTCTTCTTCTTATCTGAGATGATAATCATCTCAAAATCTCTCTTCACTGCCTTCTCAGAGAAGGGTTTCTGCTGCTCTCTCTCAGCCAGGTCAATCTGCATCTCAAAATCCCGCATTTCCTGGTCTGCTGCCTCAGGTTCCACCTCAGCAGTAAGCAGATTAACATGCTCAGAGAGCAGAACTGCCTTCTCAATGTTCTGAATCATGAAGTGCATTCAAGATCTGAACAAGATCTCAATTCTCTTCTTTTCTGCTAGCTTCTGCTAATCAATTAGAGAACAGAAGTGTTATCAAAAATTATTATCTCTCAATAAATAAAAAACTTATCAGTTTTGACTTCTTTATCTTCTGCTTTAACATTCTCTCAATCTTCTTCTACTGCTACTTATTTATAGTAACACTCTTCTTCTCTCTCTCTCTCTTCATCTTAGTCTCAAATTATTCTCAGAACTTCTTCTGATTTCACTGCTGCTGTATAAGACTCTTCACTATCTTCTTCTTCAATCTCTCACAGATGATGTTATCTGCATTATTTCTATACTTAGTTCAGTCTAAATCTATCAGAAGTGTTACTTAAAATCATTATCATTTTACTCTCTTACAGAGTCTCTTCAAGGCATTATAATATATCTTATACTCTGTCTTCTCTCACTTGAATGTCTTCTTCTTCTCTCTCTTCAATCTGTGATAGTACTCACGCGCCTTGATGATCTGCAGAACTGCAGAATATTTGAAGAGAGATGACATGATTGATTTTAATAAGTATTGAAAAGAGATGAAGGTAGAAGAGACAGTCAGAAATGATATGATAATAATAATGATAATGATAATGATGATAATGATAATGATGATGATAATAATGATGATAATAGTGATGATGATGATAATAATAATGATGATAATAATGATGATGATAATAATAATAATGAAAGAGAGAGTGCATTGAAATATATTACTGACTTATCAAATATAAAGAGACTTAAAGAAAATATTAACAGCTTTCAGTGATATACAGAAACAGCTACAGTGTTATATAGTAACATCATCTTCATTTAATACATGCACTGTTGATATTCTTTGTATACAGTTATCATATAATCTGTATCAGAAATATATGTAGAAAACAGATCTTTATTGTTAGAATAAATGATTACAGTAATTCTCTGTTTTTATATTATAAAGATAAGTTATTCTTATTTCTTTCTTCTCTCTTTTCTCTTCTTCAATCAATCACTAATTTCAAGCTGATATGAAAACTATTAAAACACTCTCAGAAACTCTCAAATTGAAGAGTATAGACTAATTAAATTTCAAATGTAGAAGAAATCAAATTATCTTCTATAGATTCAATTACTCACTTTCTCTTAAATAAAACAGCAGTTGTGTCCCTTCTCTTTCTTCAATCAAACAAAACATGGCTCATGAAAAGCGAGTATCACGTCAGATTATAATGACCAACATGGCCCCAGCATGCAGGGCTGCATATACACAGTGCATGCTGGACTGAGAGACTGTGTGAGTTGCAAACTGATGGCAGCATCCCAGAGAGAGCTGTGTGATGTGAGAAAGCCACAACTCTCAGTCATGTGTATAGAGGGTGAATTGCTGCAGTAAGTACATATGCATTGAAGTAATGTTTTTTGATAATACTCAGTCTCTGATATGATGAAAATAGAGTCTCTTCATGAGATTCATTTCTATCAGAAGTCAGAAAATCTTATATTTCTCAAGATCATCTTCACACATCTTGTCTGTGAAATCAATGAGAGAAATCATTGATTTCAGTATTCTGTTCTTGATATTATTTAAGTGACAGCAGAGTTCATTCTAATCACACTTTTTAAGTGTATATTTTCTAATTATTCACATTTATATAGATATATACTGATTATTTATTAAATAATGTTAAGATAATAACTTATCACAGCTGTGTTATTCTCACTATGAGAAATACACAGTTGATAATGAACATTGTAAAGACTCTGAGAAGTGAGTATTTTAAGAATACTGTGACTCTGTGATCTTGATTTTTTTTTATTTTTATTTTTTGTTTTTTTCTTTTTCTTTTCTTTTTTTTTTTTTATTTTTCTTTCTCTTTCTGTCTCTTTTTTTCTTTCTCTTCTTTTTTTCTTTCTCTTTTTTTTTTTTTTTTTTTTTATTGTGATTTTTTCTTATTATTTTATTTTTTGTTTTTTTGTTATTTTTTATATTGTACATTTTTTTTTTTAATTAAAATGATATTGATTATAATCTGTGTTTAGAAAAGTAATGATATTTGATAACACTCTCTGTTAAATTTTCAACAAATGAGTACTATGTTATAATATTATGTAAGTGAGAAATGATTTCATAGTCTCATTTAATGTCATTTTCAATAATGAGATCAGAATGAAAATGTGACTAAGAATTCAAACATATTCTTTATCTGAGACTAGATTTTTATTTGAAAAGTGAATCTGAAACCTTTAATATTTGAAATAACAGGATTTGAAATCAATGTAATGAACACAAACCATGATCAGAAGTAATACTTTTAGGCAACATGACAACTGTAAAGTTTGATCCTGGTCTCAGACACGGTCACACGGTCAGTCTAGGTCAAGTGTTGATTATACAGGAGAAAATACAGGTGTTGAGACCACGCCAAGATAACAAGAACATAGAAAAATACAAAGAAGTGACAATTAGATACATGCGATAATAACTTCTCAGCACAGGAACATAGAGCAATTCATTGAAGCAATTTGTACACCTCTGTATTTATTAGAAACCTGAAGTGCTTGAGTTCCGGATTTAATGTAACCCCTGCGGGTTTCAAACCCACGCGCCTTGGTTTCCCACGCCAAGGTGCTACCGGGTGGCCGCATTAACCATTCGGCCACCGGGGCCTAGTAGAGCTATTATAGTATAGTACTCTGTAAAAGATTATTCAGTTTTACTGTAATAATATATTAGTTTATCTCTTATAGTAATAACAGTCTGTGCTATAGTATTATCTCAGACTGAATTTCTTTTTAAGTAATTTAACTACTTCTTATTATACACTTATCAGACTAACTGCAGTATTAGTATATAAGTGATTAAGACTGTCTTTATTATGTTATAAAACTGAAACAGTAAATTAATCATATATTTTAACTGAGTTTACTTTATATTAGAAAGTTTTAATATCTGAATCTTTTCTCAATCAGAGTATTACACTTAATAATTAATTATCTGATATAATTAAAGAAGTCTGAACAGTTATCTTATATATTGAACTTTATTATATTTTAATATTCTGTATTATATTCAGTGATATGACTGATTTATTTATTTATTAAATATTATAAAATTATTATTATTATTTAGAGAAGATATAAATTGTATTAATAATGTTTCAAATCTATGATATTTAAATTATTAGTCAATCTATTCAAAATTAACAGTAGTATTATTAAAAAGTATTATTAAAAAGCATTATTAAAAAAAAATATTAAAAAGTGTTATTAAAAAACATTATCTTTTACAAAGTAAATATAAAAGTTACTTACTTTTATCTCATTCTCATTTCAAGAATCAGTCATCTTATTATTTATTATCTTAATATTAAGATTCTTTATCAGTGTTTCTATTATAAGTTGAATTATATAAGCAATATAGAGAATATAATCTTATTTATTATTTTAGAAATACAAAGTTAATTTTTGCTTCAAGCTCTTCATTATAATATAGTTATTCACAGTATTATCAGTTATAATTATAAGAAGACTGAGACTAATATCTTAATAGTTATTTTTAATCACTGTTATTAATAGCTCTGTTATATAATTCTCAGTATAACTACTGATTAATGATTTAAATTCAATTAATATCTTTTAATAAGTTCAGTTCTTGTTAATATAATAATATATAACTCTTATAAATGTAAGATTATTTATACTACTTTATATATTCACTGTGAGAGATACTCCTTCAATGATTTTTCAACTCTGATTCTAGATATTGTATATTAACTTTGTAGTATATCTTAAGATTGAATTAAAGACATGATTGATATGAAATATAAAGATTTAAATTAAGTACTTAAAGAAGTGTTCAGAATTCAGAGTTTTCAATTAATTAAAGAGAAAGATTCAGAGATATATATATATAAAGTAATTATTCACAGAAGTTATTAAATAAGAGTTATAAAATTAGAATACTGATATATAATTATTTTCATATAATTTTCTTCAAATTAGAAAGTTAGTACTATTAAAAATTATTATCTAATAGAGTAACTTATCAGTCTAGTAGTAATTTTTTAATTATTTTTCTTTTATTATCTGTATTCTGATGATTTCAGATATTAGAAAATTTTATCAGAGTTATAATCAGTTTATAATAAATGTTTCTGAATAAAGTTACAGTAATTATAGCAGAGAGATGACTCTTCAATAATCTATAATACAATCTATTAATAATTATTTCATAGTTTATCTCAATATTTATGTTAAGTTTTTCATAAATTTCATGACCTGAAATCAGATGTGAAGAATGAAGTGATTATTTATTATAATTGAAAGAGAGTATTCTGTATTGAATTATAAATAATACAGACTTTGTAATTCACAGTAATTTCTTGAAGAGTTTATAAATCTTTAATAGAAGTGAAAGAAGTGAAAGAAGTGAATTCATAAGATATAATAAAGATTTAAAAAAGATAATAATTTATTTTTAATAAAGATAATAACTGATCACTGATGTGTATAAGAAGAATTATTATAAGAGAAAATAATCTTCTTTCTTAACTTAGTTATAATTTTAATATTAACTCAGATTGAATATTATTAATATATAAAAGTAAATAAACAATTTTAATTAATCTCTGTTATATTTCTTGAAATATATTAATATTATAAAAGAGAGTGTTACTAAATTACATTATCAGATAATATTATTTAAAATATATTAATATTATAAATATCAATGTTGAAAAAATATTGATACTTATATATTATAATGATTTGTAAATTATGATAGTTAAATATATATATATATATTATTTCTGACATTGATTACAACTTATACAATAATTTTTAAAAACTTAAAATTAATTTTAATTATTAATAATTATAAACTTATAACTAATTAATATAAAAAGAAAAAAACTTTTTCTACTTATTATCTTTCTTCTCTTTCTTATTCTTCTTATTATTCTTTATAATTTACTTTTTATTCTTAT